TTTTATTGTTTTTATTGGCGTTGTAGTTGTAGTTTGTTGTTGTTCTGTGATACCTGAGTGAATGATACGTGTTTAGCTTAATGATTGCCCGCAAAAGATAGCCTGCAAAATAGTCAATAAAAGTGAACACATCTGTTAAATGACTTTTCATATGTGTAGATTTTAATTTGTGGGTTTTTGGAAAACATTGTACTCGGAAAGAGAAGTTTAATAAGGCATTACGAATTCTTAGTTCCCATATACACGGAGTGCAATCAAGCTGAACCAGAGGGCAAACCCGAAACATATGAGAACCATATATTTTTCGCCTAATTAGAGGGTAATCCATATGCATACATGTACCTATATTTCTTTTTATAGATAGATAATTGCCACTGGCCCCTTGACGAGTCAAGTGACAGCAAATAAAATGCGTTCAATTCGGGATGATTATTTAAATTGGACTTACGGCAGTTTCATGTTTCTAGGTAGATTTAGCTGACCAGATATGAGAACCAAAGTCTAAAAATAATTACCCCAGGTCCATTGTTCAATCTCTAGTATACAATTTAAATGCATTTATTTTTTAAAATGACAAAATATATTTTGCACCCCGATTTCTGGTAGATAGAGCTGCAATCGTCCAGCAGTTGCACGATTATGGCATTATCTTCTATGTTTTAAACACATCTTATCAGTCTAAAATAAAAAGCGTCAAAAAACTGCAACTAAAGTTCAAGCGATAAACCTATTAAAATTAGAGTTGGCATACAAGGCGCTCTAATGCGCTTCAGATGGAATAAAATCATGTTCCTTATTTTAAATACTTTTGCAACTTTTTTCAAGCCAGCAATTGTTATAACACATTTAATTAGTCATTAAGTTAATTTTGACATAGTGATATATTGTAAATGTATGTCTAGGATTGAATGGGTGACTCTTTCTTTTTTAAAAACACCCAATTACACGTTTATTATAATAAAGGAATAATTATCCTTTCAACTATAAAAAAAATAATTAAACAAAAGTACAACATTAAATATTACTGTATAATGAGAACTGCCTTTTTAAAAACAGGTTTCTGATATATAATTGTTGGGACGTTCATACATTTCGGTATAGGAATACAGCACCTTTTTTATTTCCTGACATTGATTTAAAATTTTTCTTGACCTTAAGCAATAGACTGCATTCTAACATAACAGGTTTCCCATGATTGCATATTTATTTTGAGTATTTCCCACTTGCATAGGCTAAAATATTGAACTATATTACACGTTTAATGGGAAATTCCTATAATTCGAGGGAGAGTAGCCTAAACTGGTTTTGACATGCATGTAACTATAAAAATATTCTCATTCGAATATTCTCTGTCTGTTTCTAATGTGAATGTAATTAGCATAATTAATTGTTATTCAATAGCAAGTGTACCAGGTAATGCTATAGTTTATAATATGTTTTCCAGAATACCTCAAAATTCCAATTCCTTTTCATTCAACAGTGAATAAGAAATACTTTTAGTTTTTTTAAATTTTAGTTTAGATAAATACTTTAGTACTCCAAACTGAATTAGGAATCAGCGCATATTGAAAATTAATAACAAAAAACATTCTTATAGGATGACAAAAACATCAATAAATGTTTTGTTTTTACTGATTTAACAAAGGTTAAGTTGGAAAAAATATTTAAATTAAAATAAACCATTTTTAGTTTTTGGCCAGAAACAAAACTGGCAAACGTCATGATGGATTTTTGTTACTCGTATGCAGTCAAGGAAATATTCTTAGCAAGACTGTTAATTTTTAATCCTCTTTGGTTCATTAGGTCTGCGATTTGTAGACTGCACTGGTGCAGAGACAAACGCCATAAAGGCACCGAGCAGACCGACCCACTTCACCCACATAAGCAAGCGGCTGTGCAGCGCATCCCCAAGCTTTTGGACCCCTGATAAGACTTGGGGCACCAGAAACAGCAAGAACAGGGAAACCTTTATCAGTCCGGGAGTGATACTTTGCACCCAGACATCTGGTCGGGGCCCTCTTACTAAGCAGATTATTTGCCTTTGAACAATGCAAGACACACAAGTTCGAAAAGTGTAGTCTCCAGACCATAAATATACCTTATAAGTCGTTGGAAATAATCATTATTCGCTTTTTTATAATAAGAGACAGACATCATCCTGTTTACTTTTTAATTTTTAATTTTTAAAATAGCTTCTAGAAATTTTCATATATATTGGTAAAGGATCTTTCGTCACAAATTGCATAAGGTCAATATTTTAAATTACTTTTCGTTTATTCTAAAACTTATTCGTAGGTCAATATATAATGACGGCTGTTTTATATTTTCTGTGTCACTTTTGAAAATGTAAAATTTAGTTAAGCCTATTACCCTGATCTACTTATTACAACATGAAACTTTATAAGAACATGCCAAGGAACTCTGCAAACAAAAGAACGGTCTTATATAATGCAATGTAAACAAGTGTGTTTAGGCCATGCTATTGATTTTATAGGCAGTTTTCTTGAAGCCGGGTCAAATCAGGTTTGCCCAAATGAGAAGAGGCGAAAAAGGAAGATACACAGAGCAACGAAACAAAATGGAGCCTACAGAGGTCAAGGCGGGCACATGGAATTTTCGGTCATGGATTTTCATCCCTTACCACAAAACTCACCTAGAAATCTGGACTACCGGTAGATGAAACACATTTGTCGGGATTATTTATATTTAGGCACGGGCCGTATAACCATACACTTAATTTAGACTGAGAAAATCAATGAAAAGTTTACGTTTCGGCACACGCGGATTCCTCCTATCGTAATTTTTACCGGGTCGTTTTGGGGGGGCGTATATAATATTGGCGTGGGGCGAAAACAGAGAGGGAAAGTCTTGGAACCGAGCATGGAACACCGAAAAACAGAAAACTGAAAAATTACTGCTAACCGGTCGACGTTCGAAACAGAACTGAAAACCGCCAACTGAGAACATTGAATCAAAGTCCGGTAGCGTTTGAGTCTCAGTTTTGAGCATGCGTGCAACTAGAATAACAACAGCGGCAATCGCAATCGCATGAATGAAGCCACACGGAGAGTCAAACACGGGTAACGAGAGAAAGCCCTACACTGGCACTAAAAAAGGCACAATAAATTAACACAGGGCTTATTATAGTAACGGAAAAATTAACATTAACAAAGTAAATCTTCAAAAGTTTAGGGATCGATAAGGTCGACTTCAAAATTGTAATATATTAAAAATTCTTAAGCAAATTAAAGTTTATTTGATGGGATTGTCTTACCACTTAAATGACAACGGATTTAAAATCACTTTTGTATGTAATTGTAGATGTCTAAAAATATCCAGTGAAGAAGGGGTAGTCGTCTTCCGCATGAGTTCATTATGCTTCTATGTTTATGTTGCATACTTTCAGAAGCCTATGTTATATTTAAAAGATATTTTAAAGTCCGAGGGATTTTGGTGGCCCCTAGTTTGACAAGTAAAATGGAAGTATTTTCTAGTAACTCACATCCATCACAAAATATACGTAATACACAAAAAACCCTCTGATTAAATTGACCTCTACACTTTACCAATGAAATTGTAATTCACACGACAAAAAACACCATAAAAGTTACTATTTTATAGTTGTTGTACTATTAAATAGAAACTTAAGCAACTACATTATAAATAAGTAGTAAGATATTTTTCAAAGTTATACAACTTGTAACATTTTGTTACTACACATTTTTTGTTTGTAGGAGGTCAAAAGAAGAAGAAACGTTGTCGGTATGGATTGTAAGATACCCGTTACTCTGCTACACTTTTTGAAATCACACACATTGTTTCCCGTTTTGCCGATAAATTCACTTAAGTTTTAGTCCAATTGTATTGAACTTCGAGACATATTTCTTCTGGATATCCTAAACCGCATTTTTTTAAGTGTAAGAGAGCTCCACGAAGAGAGCGCCGTGGGGGAGAGAGCGCCAGCTCCAGTCATAACAAACAACGAGCAAAGTGGCAAACAAACTACACGTGCTACGCTACACAAGACCTTTGGGGGGGCGGAATGGGAGTGGCGGGGAACTGAGAGAAAGCCGGTTGCAAAGAGAGAGCAATTGAGTTTGTCCTTTTTGGTAGCGGCTTCTTGGGGAGGGGAAAACGGGGATCAAAGGATAAGAGCCGCAGAACAACGGTTGTTTTTACGACCGGGAGCAACGAGGGGGTGTCGTGACGCACTAGTTCTTTCCGTTCTGCAATGCGACACGATTTTCGAGGGCGGTTCCAAATTAAAGGTCAATAGCCACAAAAATGGAGCAAAAACCTATAAATACTTTGACATTGATCAAACTCAAAAATGTTTAGCCTAACAAATCACCTGTGTAAGACTAAATTACTTTACCATGTTGAATTTTGGCTTTATTAAAATTTTAAACCAAATTTGTGCTGTTAAATTTTCTCCAAGATCATGTTAAGATCATCTAAGATTAGAATCAAAACGAAAAACACGTATTTAAAAATAGATAAAGACATAAATAAATACTTAAATAGATTAAGGTACCTCCCCCGATTAAATATTAAGATAATAAGTGATTTACAGAATTAAAACTACTTAAATCCGGTATACTCAAAAATACTATTGCCTGTTGAATGAATATACAAATGAATAAGAGGAATATTTCATTGAATATCAGATACAGTAAAAACCCTTTGTTTTTATTGTTATAACATTCATATGCATCATCATTGATCGTATCAGGTCAATGACGTTGAATAATTAAGGCTCATTTTGATCAGAACTTTTCTAGCTGCCCTACAACTATGCGATGGGATACTGGCATGTGACAGCTGTCTGTTAAGTCTATAAGTTTATTGATAAAGAATCTATAATTACTTGCAAAGGGTAAGCCTGATTTAAGTATCAATTTTTAAAGAGTCCTTAAAATATAGAGTTGAAAAGGAGCTAAAAATGTGGTTTGAACTTTGAGATTCAGGTGAATGTAAACTGTGGTTGCGCATGCCAAAGATTCTTGTGTGTGGGTCATGTTTGTTCAGGTTTTGTGCCTTTTTTTACCACTACCCGTGCGAAGCATAAAACAAAAAGGTTATTGAGATGGGGATAATCAAACAAAAACTGCTCAGTTTAATGTACTTATTTAAAAATAAATTTCAGACACCCACTTAACATGTGTACATTCTAAATTAGTTTTCATAGCATACTTTAAGGCAAACATACTTAGTAAGTACCTCAACCATCAGGTTTTCAAGTCGTATGCCCCCAACTGCCACCAGTTTTTTGGGGCAGTTGGGTCAGAGTCATTCCTTTTATCTTTTGGTAGACCGCAGTTCAAATGTGGTTTCCACGCTCAAAAACAAGGAAAGCTTTTCGAATTCTTTAAACCAGAGTATTTAAATGCTTATTGTTCGACGAACACTCCAACAATGGACAGCAACGATTCCCCCAGCTCCGGGGGAAGTTTCGCCAGTACAACCAGTGGACCTTGTTGCGGTTCAGGAAGGGATTTGGTTGTGGACATGGAGGTGGATGATAAGGATAAAGGAGATGAGCAGTTTCAATTGAGGCTCCTGTGACTTGCAGAAATCCAAGGGTACAAATAAGTGTTCCAGCGATCTGTCTGGGGAAAATAGCTATGCTGCAAACAAAAACGTGGCTGAAGGTAAGAACCTATAGGTTTTATAGTACTATAGAAAACAAATCCGATTAAAGTATAAACATGTTTAATAAGATCATTGTTAATACCCAAGTGTTTGTCTACTTTTTCCAGGCCTCATGGATATAGCCTTGCTTTCGGCCAATGCTAATCAACTCCGCTTTTTAATCACCTACAATGACAAGGCCTCCACCTACATATACAGTATGATTATGGTGATACTTTCCCTGGTGCTGCAGCTCTTAGTTGGAATAATGCTGATCTTCAAAGTAAGTAAGAATCAATCAATAGCAAAAGGTACTAATATGACAACCACACAGCGACGTCTGAAGCGATTCAAAAACCGGAGCTATGAAAGAACCAATGATCTGCTGGTGATGGGAGTTTTCATGATCACAGTGATCAACATACTGCTGGCTGCTTTCACCACAACCGATGGAGGCACTCATTGAAATACATTTTATAAATTTTATGGATGTAAATATTTTAATTGTATTTTATACAATATAACAGAAGAAACTATATGGTAAATGCTAAGGTAACATGGAGAGAACCGATAACGGATGGCCGTCAGAATTTTTCCAGCGGTTCCCACGCATAAATGCACTTGACGTATCTGACGTACGATATCTCAGCTTGTGTGGGGGATTTGTGGGGGTGGACTAGAGTTCCTAGCCGGAGTACTCCTTCTTGATGCTCTTGGCAATGGTGCTGAGCTGCATGTTGGTGGTGCCCTCGTAGATGGCTCCGATCTTCACGTCACGGTAGTACTTCTCCTGGGGGAAATCGCGGGTGAAGCCAACGCCTCCCATCCAGTCGACGCACTTGATGGCCGCCCTCTGGGCCACCTCCGAAGCGTAGTACTTGGCCATGGCGGCCTCCTTCTGGAAGGGCACTCCCTGCTCCTGCAGACGAGCCGCATTGTAGGTCATCAGGCGGGCGGCCTCGATTTCCGTGGCCACGGTGGCGATCTGGTGCTGCATCGACTGGAAGTTGTAGATGGCTTCTCCGAACTGCTTGCGCTCCAGCAGATACGGAATGGTGGCATCGAAGGTTCCCTGGGCCAGGCCCACCATCTGCGCGGCGATTCCGATGCGACCCTCGTTCAGGAAGCCGGCGGCGTACTTGTAGCCATGTCCGAAGGTTCCCAGGATGTTCTCCTCGGGCACGCGCACGTTGTCGAAGGTCAGCTGGCAGGTTCCGGAGGCACGGATGCCCAACTTGTCCTCGGGCTTGTTCACAATCAGGCCGGGGGTCTCGCGATCCACAATGAAGGTGGTGATGCCACGGTAGCCCTGTAATTAATGTAAGAATATTAGTTTATAATCACATAACTAAATATATTTCATATCATTAATTTAGTTTAAATAACGCGATCAAAACGTGTAAATATCCTATTAAAAAGTCATTCTAATGATTTTTATTCAACGATCTGTAATCAACTGAACTTTAAACTCACGGCGATTAGGTGGCAATCGTTTAAAATAACATAAAGATTAGCTATGGAAAATATTGTGTGATCGACTAGGCCCCTAGTAAAAAAGTGAAAACTAATCTAATAAAAATAATGGGAAACCTATGACTAAAAGTAGATGAATTTACTTTACACTCAGATGTTGTTCGAAAGATGATATGTATAGTATTACTAAAATATTTCATCACTATTTGATTTTAAACCGAATTTAGACCGAATTAAGATTGGAAGAAATAAAAGAGAAATAAATGGCTTGCTTTAAACCTATCTACTTACATCCTCTGGCTTGGCATTGGCGAAGATCAGGAAGACTCCAGCCACATCGGAGTTGGAGATCCACATCTTGGAGCCGTTAATCACGTAGTGGTTGCCGTCCTTCTTAGCCACCGTCTTCAGGGAAAAGGCATCTGACCCTGCTCCGGGTTCGGTCAAGGCGAAGCTTCCGGCGTACTCCTGGGCCAACTTGGGCAGGTACTTGGCCTTCTGCTCGGCATTGCCGAACTTGATCATCAGCGAGTTGACCAGAGTGTTGTGGATGTCCACAAAGGCCGCCACGGCGGGATCAATCTTGGACAGCTCCTCCACCACGATGATGTTGGTCATGAAGTTGCAGCCACTGCCTCCCAGCTCGGTATCGATCTCAATGCCCATCAGACCGTTCTCGAAAACTGCCTTCACCACGGAGGGATCGAATTTGTGCTCGAAGTCCATTTTCTTGACCAAGGGCTGGATCTGCTCCTGGGCCAGTTTGGCAACTGAAACAAAAGAAGAAACAATGTATTACCATTTAAATAATATAAATTTATATAAAACTTTCAAAAACCTCGAAAAAGTGTGATATTGATATTAAATTAATTATTAGAAAAATATAATTTATTACTGCTACACAGAAATAAAGGTAATAAAGATAATTGTATAAAACTAAAACCATATTACCATTTTCTTTCAAAAATTAAATATCATATAGAACACCCAAACGCTCAGTAGAGAAGCTTTTTATCAAAGTTTCCTTAAACACGTTTTCTTAAAAAAGTCTGGTCTAAAGCTTTTTGCTTTTGGTTCTTTCTGCCTCTTTTTCCTATAAGGGGCCCGATGTTTGCTCTTGGCCTGTTGTTTGTATAAGTTGAGTTCTTTATTTTTCTACATTATAGTCCGATAAAAAATCGTTGTGTGGGTTGTGCGTGTGTATTTTTTATCAGCGGATTCTCCGATCGCGTGGGGCTCTCGCAGCTGTCTTTTTAGCTAATTCTATTATTCTCTCAACGTACATATGTATGTATTATTGATCTTTTTAAAGCATTTTTCTTGACATTGTTTTTCAGCTTGGAAAGCAAGCAACTGGTACACACCCACAAAAGTTCTCACACCTTCGACTTCCCTTTCTCATTCTCTTTCCTGTCACTTTGCATACATATGAAAATATTTTGTTTCTTGGGGAATGCTTGAATTATTGATAAACTTTATATATTCATTTAGTTTTCCAACCATATGGGCAGCGTCAGTAGTTTTCTGCCAGATGTGACCCGTCCCACTGGACTCGATGATAAATTTGCTCTATTCTTTTGGAATTTTCCTTGAAATATTTAGTACGAAGTGACACAAAATCAATTTTTTTGAATTCTTTGTCATTTTATTTTTTTAATTTTATTCTCACTTTTAATTGTTTCTGAATATGAATTCGCAATGCGCAACTGTACTTGGTTGAAAGCAATGCCTTCCCTAAATAATGTTTCAAATGAATGAGTTTCTGTCCCTTGCCTATTTCCTTAAAGAAAATCTAAATAAAATGTTTAATTTATGTACTTTTAGTAGCTTAAAAATGAATAAAAAACCGTCAACCTATTACCAAACAAATTAGAAACTGACACTGGCGGGTTTAGATATTATAAGATCATTAAACTAAAAGTATAAGTGTTAGCTGTACCATTACTTAAAATTAAAACACTTTGAAAAAAATAAAAAACCAGTTTCAGTTCATGCACTTAGCCACTTTGCATTCAGTTTAGATTACGCAACAGTCAGACCATATAGACACATACCACCTAGAATTATTTGTACGTATGTATGTAAGAAATTGGAAACCATACAGATTAAGACCAATTTAGTGATTGATAAGCAGAACAAAGGAAAATTGGGTAAAAAAAATAAAAATGTAACCTTCCCAACTAGGAATTAACCGGATTGCGGGAGAATAGTCCTCCCACTCAGCTAATTCAACTCTCTAGGGAAGGGCGCCCGACCAAGTGCCACGCCCCTGGTTGCCCGGCGTGATCACTAGAACAGTGATCACAGGTGGGCAGGGGGCGTGGCACAGCCGCATTTAATGCTCTATCACAAGTGTAACGCTATTCGGTTGACGTTTAAAACCAGAACCAAACAGCTGACTGACCTGTGAAATTTTGGATATGATAAACTAATAAATATAACATCAAATATTACTGAAAACCACCCACGTTTTTACTACATAAAAGATGGGTTCGATCGATCGGGACCGAGACTCGAACTCGCGCATTGGTAAATATTTTTCCTTATTTACCGGCCCTCAACGTGGAACACCACGGCCAGCCGAGAAAAAGCAGCGGCGAAATCCGAAGTTTAGTGGTGGCGGCAACCGAGAGTTATTTTTAGACCGTCTATGTATATGTGAGCGGGAGCGGGTGTACGCATGTGTATGTGTGCTGACCCACCCCCTTTTCCTTTAGCTCCTGAAGGTGAGTTTACCACGATATTTTTTATTCCCTATTATTATGTTTAATAGGAAAAAAATATTAATATTAAGGAAATAACTAAGGTGAGAGGAAAGTTTTACCCTTAAAAAGCTCTTGAAAGGCTAGACCTTGAACTTGCCAAGGTGGCAGCTTTTTGGGTAGTATTTTGCTTTTAAAATGCGGAAAATCATACATTTTTTATTTTTGCCCGACACTTTTCACTTTAACATAGTTGATTAAAACCAAAATTCCGATTGTTGTTTTCTTTTATATAATATTTTATAAGTGATAAACTTTTAAGATTGGATAGGAATATTTTATGCATATTATTTAGCTTTTTAAATAAGCATTCAAGCTTTTTAGAAATATTTCAGGAATGGAAAATGTTTAACTTAAAATAATAGAATATTTTATAAAAGACACCAAAGTAATTAAAAAAATAATTTTTACTTAAATTAACATATTAACCATTAAATGAATACTATTAATTTAAAAAAAATTATACAAATAGAAATAATTATATTTGCTGATCGAATTTATTTAAAAAACTAAGCAATGGAAAAAAAAAATCGCTTGATCATAAAAAGAAAAAAATATTCAGCTATGTTAATATTTAGACAAACATCATGTAGAAAATGACCAAACCAGCCGACTGGTATTGACTGTCATTTTACTTCCAATAACAAAATAAAAATGTGCTTATCTGGCAAACGTTATTCTCTATTCCCTCACTAAACACACTATCAGCAAAAAAAGGAATACAACTGAAAATATATTAATAAGTTTATGGTGCAGCAAGACTTTAGCTAGTTAGTACAATGGAAATGTTAATAAATAACAATCGCCTCTTTACGATGCTCTGAGTTACGTAACAAGCAAGTCAAACTAAACAGCAAAAAAATATCTAAAAACTCGACATGGACATGGAAACAAACATGCTTATCAAAATGAGTCTACTATTGGCCTTACGAAGTACAGAGCCACTGGATGGTCTATATAAATCTAGGGCGAAACTCACCAGTCTCCTTCATCATTTTCTCATCGTCGGTAAGGAAAGTGAGGGGTGGGGGGAGACCCGCTGCCGAGGACATCGCAGCATTTTGCTGACGTGCAGCGGCATTAGCCAGCTAAAAAATATAAATCAAATTAGTTGAACCAAAAGTGAGAACTGAGGGGGCGTGGCAAACTCACCATGCGCACGGGCAGTTTCTTCAGGCTGTTCATCATCTTGAGTGTAGGGGAAAAGTTAATTTAATCAAGGGGCCAAACTGGACTTTCTTTGGGTTTTCG